GCGCTTTGCTTCCCTCCGAGTGTTTCCCCCACTCTACTTGGCAGTGCAGATAAAAGAGTAAAGTTACATTTTCCCTTAAGTTTCTAAGGTGAAATGGGAACACTTGATTCTGTGCTACCCAAAAAAAACAAAACAAAGAAACCTCTCCACTTGCCAAATCTGATACCAAAAGTTAACTAGCTCTTGGAACTATGCTTCTACAGAAAATGCATTAGTGGGAATTTCAACAGAAAACCCATTATACCTGAGCTGTTAGAAAAACTTCTGCAAGTTATCCTCTTCAGAAAGACGTTCATTTAAATACTAATAGTTCTAAAGGATATAACACCTTAACTATCTAATAAAATTCCTTTTTTGGGGGGTGGGGGGGTGGGTCTGTGGAACTACAGAAGAACCATACACTACAAGTTTTTCCTAATGTTTGACAACCAAACAAATTAAAACAGTGCAGGGGTGACCATTCTAATTAAATCAACCCCAAAGAGTAAAACTCCAGGGTTGAACAATGGATGATTCAACTAATGAAAGTTTAAGAGTTGTGTTTGCCTTTCACTGCAGCCAGCATGAAGAACCCAAACTGTCAATTTAAATAAATGTATATTCTAATTATACATTTTCATCTTGACACCATTTGACGATATCTCTTAATATGTAAACAAATAAAAAAAAGGTAATCAAAAGTATGGTCTTAGTATAGTTTCAGGATTAGGGCACTATTTTCCTTAATTGTTATTTTATTATGTAATTTAAGACACTCTTTCCTTACAATTGATAATTATCTATGAGAAAAAAAAACAAACAAAAGTTAAAAAAAAAGAGGGGAAAAAACAGTGGTTCCTGGAGACTGAGGTGGAACTAGCAATCAAACAGAAAAGGCAAACATTTCTTAAATAGGTATTGATTGCCTCCATTCAGACAACTATGAGTTTTTGTCTTTTTCTAAGAAAACACCCATTTACAAAAGCATCTTTCCTGTATATTCTCACAGTTTCAAGGTAACAAGTGTCAATAGCGTCATTAGATGTGTTAGCACATTTCTTTAGAAGAGCTTAACCACTGTTAATGTTTACTATCTCCTGGCCCTCCCAGTGGCCCTGTGACACTGAAGGGAGAGGCTTATAATGATCCCATTTTACAGATGGAGAAAGTGAGAAAGAGGGATTAAATGGCTTCCCTCTGGTCACACAAAGACTAATTAAGATTAGCAACTGGAAACCTGGTTTCCTGATTTCTGGTTTAGTGTTCCACATACTATGTATGCTTCCTTCTACGAAGTACTATTTTTGTAAAGGTTTCTCTTTCAATAAAGGAAATAGAACAAGTCATGTGACTTTCATTCACGAAAGCCTCTGTGTTTTCATTAGCATCTTCGTTAGACAACTACGAATAGGGTAGAAGCAGGGCACATTATTATCCCATTATGACAAAGCTATCCAGCTAAAGCAGAAAAACATGCACAACAGAAAAAATAAGGGGTATTGTTTGTCAAGCAATCACACTGGCGTTCTGAAAGTGTTCAAGTTCTTTGCTTTAAGATTTCGGCAGGCAATACTTTTAAACATACATCCTGACTGCACTGTTCCTGTGGAAACATTCCTCTTATTCCATGATTCTTTTACCATAGGCTATGAATAAACAGACCCTTTTACTCAAACATAATTTAAATACAGATGCTTCCAGTGGCAATTCTTACCTAACCTGCCTTGTACACATAGGAAAAACAATTTTAGAATAAAAATCCCACTAAAAACGAACATTAAAATACCTTATTTTTGGTATGTACCAATCTATAATCAAAATACAAAAATATGTAAGAGATAATTTTTAGAAGTAGTTTTAAAGCATAGTAAATTCAGTAACATACTTCCAACTTCCCCAACAACTACAGGCTAACAGATTGGTAGGATTTTTCTACATACACACACATAAAACACACGGTAAATAACCTCCCCTACTTACAAATGAGATGCAAACTTTAGACTTAAATTTTTATTTTCTCTGGACTAATATGTCTACATTATGTACATCTATCTCAAGTGTACTAACTTTTAATTGGCTTGAGCATTGAAACCTCACCCCCACTCCCAATTATATTGTAAACAACTAGCAAAGATTGCTGGAACCTTAGTCTTGGTCACCACTTATGCAAATACCAAACACTACTCAGGGCCCCCAAATGATTCTGCTTCAGTATAACCAGTGCGGTTTTCCCATGCAGAACTCAAGAAGCTCGATGTGGAAACAAACATATGCCACTTCTGAGAGCCAGAGCAGTGCACGCAATAACCCAGGAAGTTGTTTTTCTAGCTCATCTTCAAAGAAATGCTTTGCACGTCTTCCTTCTAGAAATTATTCTCTCCAAGGATTAAATTATTAATCTCCTGTGAGCTTTTTATTTATGAGCACCTCAAACAAATGTCTACGGGAATACATGAGTTAAATACAAGCGGATGCTCATTCTGAGTTTCTAAATGTTCGCCTGGCTTCACAGACCACAGTTTAACCTGCACATTAATTAAGATGACACCCTCCTCTTTCCTATTCTACTGTTCTCTGTGTTCAAATGAGTTTACTAGAAACCCATTTTGGCATGTGATCCTTTTTAAAAAAAAAAAAAATGTGGTTTTGGCACAATGGATCAATTGCAATTATCAATTTTGTTTAAAAAGAACTCTTTTCCTTCTTAAAATGGTGTTTACCACACAGACTTTGGAAAAACAGCGACCAAAACGATCTCTCATCTTTGTTCAGCCACCATGAAACATACAAACTGCTGTTTTGATTTCAGAATCCTGAATCCTATAGGTTGAAAGGAATTTTATACTGGTGGGAAATCTTAAAACAAAACAAGCTAAACAGGGTCTCTAGCTAAACTTATCTCTTGCCGTTTAAAATTTTCCCTAGTCTGAAAAGGGCATTATATCATACACGAATCACGTTTCTCAATGTATCTACTTTATCAAAAAGGCCTCGACTCCTTTTAGGCCTGCAGTCGCAAGCACACTCCAGCTCACTCCTCCTGTTACTACAAGAACCCACTCCTGGGGCCCTCCTGAATCCAGTCCAGGTTTTTACCGCCTACTCCACCAAAAACAGTAAAAGGTGTTATGTTCTCAGACTGTTTTTCTGATTAGAATCAGATTTCAGCAAAATGTACTTTCATGTTCACTGTGGCATATACCCATTTGGGCATACCAATAAAATGTGTGCGTGTACACCCCCCACCACCACCACTTGATTCCAGTTATACGGTGTGTTTATATGGTTTATGTCTTGAAAGGCAGCTAATCCTTAACTCCATGACACACTAGCAATTTTTCCGAAGTACCTGTAGTGCCTATTACAACTCCAAGGAAAATGACCTTCAGCTGAGAGTCACCATTTAAGGGAAACACTCTGACAACTTCCAATTGATTTAATTAGATACTGAAGCACCACATTCCTTACAATTCTGTGTCTCTTTTCATCTTTCATTCTATGGTTTTAATAAAAACGTAAATAGCTTTTTCTCTGTTCTATTACAATAACAGGGCACTTACCCTACAGCTATAATTTTAAATCCCATGGATATTATCAAATACATGCTGCATTTAGACAGCATTAAACTGATCTGTTTAAGAAAAAAAAGAAAAAGAAAATGGCATATGGATTCCCAAGCCACCTTGTTCATCACCTGGTTGTAACCCCTGCAGACTGTTGACCTTAGAACAGCATCCACCACTATGTGTTCTGTGGTTCCCACAGTGCCTCTATGTTACTAGCAACCCTGCAAAGAATCAGCTACACAATTAAAGAAGAAACCCTTGACCATCCCTCACCCCTTTATTTCTCTCTCCCCCACATCATGCAAAGTTTGAAACAGTCAGAATGCACCGCCAGCTGCAAAGCAAGCAGTCTCTCTTTCCTCATGGATATTTGATGAGAATGTGAAGAACAATACGGGGTACCAGCCTATCCGATTGTTCTTGAAAAGCCCCATGATGTTGTCTTCACTTGTTTTCTCTAAAGCACTGATTCTAAATCCTGGCTGCATATTATCACCTGGGCAACTGAAAAATGCTCCTGCCTCCACTCTGCCCACTGGATGTTTTACTTGAGTGTCTGGCATGAGGCCCCATAGGTTATTTTTCATACCTCCTCGGGTGGGTCTAACCTGGGAGAGGGTTCTCAAAGGACAGCAGCAGCAGCACAACCTGGAGACTTTCTTAGAAACGCAAATTCTGGGCCACACCCCACACCTACTGCATCAGAATCCCTGGGACTTTACACAGCCCAGCCATGCTGGTTTCAGCAGCCTCTCCAGGTGACTCCCAGGTATGCTCAGGTTTGAGAACCACTGCTTTTAAGTTGTGTTTAAGCAGCATTACTATTTCAGCCCCTTAGGAGAAAAGGAATATCTCTAATGGAAAAGCCCCTATAGTTTATGTGCAAACTGTAAATGGTTAACTGTTCCCTTTAGCGGCCACAAAAATGGATGCTCATTTCCTAAATGACTTTCGAGCCTGTTTTTATAAACTTTGAGGCTCAGCAAGAATCAGCTGGGGCCCTGCTCCAGGAAAACAAAGAGAAAAATGAAGGTTACAAGCCTGGGAGAAGTCAGAACTTCAGGGCCCTTCCTAGCAGAACTTTCCCACTCTCAGATCAAGAAGATGGGTTTCAGGTGGGGACCTGGAGAGCATGTCCAGTGTTAATAGGTGGGAAGAGGACTGTGGGAAAGAAGAAATGTTTGGGGCCAAAAAACAAACAAACAAACAACAACAAATAGTAGTTCCCTGAATCGGAAGCTTCACATTCAACTCAAAGATGCTTTGACTGTTCTTGTCAAAGTCTTTGAGGAAAGAGGAGGACACAGGAGCCTAAAGTAAAACAAAACAAGAAGCCGAGGCCAATATTTGGGCATTTAGGTCAAGGTACCAAAAGAGGGAAGAAGAGTGAACCCACCAATGCTCACCCACTTTTCCCACCCTTCCTCCCACCAGCCACAAGGTGAAGGGCCTCACCTTTCACAATGGTGGCCTCCTTCAGGCGATGGGACAAGAAGTCAATGCTGGCATAGGTGTTGGAGGGCAGCGCTCCAGGGCCTGGACCTCCACACACCCCAGCGGTGCTGTTGGCCCCCACAGTACTGATGAGACCCCCAAGGCTACGGGTCCGGCCCCAGGCACTCTTGTCGCCTGGCTGCGGATGCGGATGCAGGTGTGGGTGCTGCTGTGGAGATGGCAGTAGCCCCGGCTCATCCCTGACATCGATGGCAATGTAGTTGAGACCATTCTGGAAGCCAGCTGAGGTCTCCCTGCGCATGGGAGAGCCACTGCCCCCGGGGCAGCCAACCAGGCCCCCAGGCTGACTTGGTGTCCATGGCCGCGCCTGCTGGGGGAGGGGTGGCTGCGGCTGGCGAGGGGACGCAGGGGGCTCGTCACCCGCACCGAGGACGACGCTGCCACTCCCTTCACTGCTTTTCCTGAGAGAGACATTTTCCACGGAGGCCGAGTTGTGGCGCTTCGGGTTGTGAGCAAAGGACGGCGACACGGGAGTCACAGTGGTGGTTGAGGAGAAGGTCTCCGAGCTGTGGCGGCGGCGGCCCCCCTGTGGGTCTGCACGGATGACCTTGGCCCCCCGGTGGGGGTCTGGGGGCTGGCCAGCCTGCAGGAAGGCCTCGACCCCCGACACGTGATCCATGAGACTCAGCCTCTTCATGCCGGACGTGGGGCTGGTCACGCGGGCACCATCTGGCTTTGGGGGGGCCACGATGGGTTGCGGCGGGGTGGCAGCCACGCCGAAGGCCATCTCGGTGTAGTCACCATTGTCCCCTGTCTCCGAGGGCGAAGAGGAGGCAGCACTGGGGCCCTGGGATGTGGGTGCAGGAGGCAGGCGGTACAGCTCCCCTGGAGGGGGTGGCGGAGGTGGCTGCAGCTGCGAACTGGAGGAGGGGGCGGCAGGGCGCGGGGGCAGTGGCGGGTACCCGGAGGAGGCCTCAGGGGACAGGAGACCATCCAAGGAGCCCACTGGGTCCCCGCTCTGGGTCTCAGCCTTGGGTGACTTGGGGGAATTGAAGTCCAGGTTCATGTAGTCAGAGAGCGGGGAGCGCTGCCGGCTGTCACTGCTCGTGCCCGGGGTGCCAGAGCCCAGGGACGAGGCTGGGCTGCTGGCAGACAGCAGCGAGGACGACGAGGCCGCCGAAGCCAGCATCATCGGAGGGGCCGGGGGCGACAAGCGCGCTCCAGCCTCGCCAAAGTCAATATTGATGTACTCGCCCGGGCTCTTGGGCTCGGGCGGTAGGGGGCACTCGTGCATGCTGGGCAGGGTCTGAAGCCCCTCCAGGGACAGGCGCGTGGGCCTCACTGCCCGGCAGCGCTGGTTCAGGAAGCCCTCGGGGCGGCCACTGCCACTGCCACTCTGCCTCCCTGCAGAAGGCACTACGGAGTGAGGAGGCTGAGCGTGGCTGCCCCCACCGACCCCAGCCACCACGCTGCTGGCCGGTTGCGTGGTCCCCACGCTGGCCTGAGGCTCCAGCCTCTCCTCTTCCAGAATGCGCCCCACGGGGGAGCTCATGAGCACGTACTGGTCGTTGTCCCCATTGCAGGTGTAGGGAGCCTTGTAGGAGCGGGGTAAGGAGCTGTAGCAGTAGCCAGGGACGCTCCTGAGCATCTCTCCAGCGCCGTGCAAGGCTGCGGTGAAGAAGTCGGGTGGGGTTCCCGCGGTGCCCGCGTCGCTGGGGGACATGTTGAGGTAGTCCCCGTTGGGAAGCTGCTTGCTGTCGGTGCTCTCCGTAGGCAGCTTGGAGCCACACCACATGCGCATGTAGCCACTGTCCTCAGGAGAGCTTTCCGCCGGGGAGCTAGCCTTGTAGCTGGCCCTGTTCACCGGAAAGGCCCTGCCGGCCACATTGGTGGGTGCCGGCGCGGCAGGGCCGGTGGGGGGCAGAGCTGCAGCAGCAACCCGTGGGTGCAGGATCTGCTTCGGGGCAGACACGCTGGTGGGGCTCATGGGCATGTAGTCGTCACTCTTGCAGCTGCCACTGCCACCACCCATGAGGGCCGCTCCAGGGGTCATGGGCATGTAACCATCATCCGTGCCCAGGTTGCTGCTGGAGCTCCTATGGGACCCAATCTCAATGTCACCATAGTCCTCCGGATAAGGGTGATAGGCCACTCTGGGAGAAGAGGTGGGGCAGGATGGGCAGAGGCGGCCAGAGCTGCCAGAAAAGGTGGCCCTCATCAGGGTGTATTCATCCAGGGACGCAGAGGAGGGCTGGGGCACCGCCCGCTGCCGGGCAGGTGTGGTCAGGGAGTAAGTCCTCTTCCTCAACCCTCTGTCCAAGTCCTGGGCTCCATCCCCTGAGACTCGACGGTAGGGGCGGCCACAGTGGCTCAGAGGCCTGTCCATGGTCATGTACCCGTATAGCTCGCTCCCACTCCCATCCTTGGCAGGGGGTGTCTCGGCGATGGACTCAGGCGTGTTGCTCCTGTGGCTGCAGAAGGCTCTCAAGTCCCCAGGGCTGGAGCCGTACTCATCCAGGGACATGAAGCCGGGATCGCTGGGGGAGCCAGAGGCTGAAGCGCTGCCGCTGGAGGGCCGCTGGCCCGCGTGGTGGTGCAGGGGATGCTGCAGGTGCGGGTGCGGGCCTGGAGGCAGCGGGTAGGAGCCCGAACCATGCCCGCTGCTGGACGACAGGCTGCCTGGGCTGGTGGCTGCTGGGGGCGAGTGCGCCACGGGCATAGACATGGAGCGGCTGTGTTGCAGGGCGCCCCCTGCCGGCGCCAGCGTCACCTTGCTCGCGCGGTTGCCGCAGCCGGCGCTCAGGGTGTGTGAGCGGCTCAGAGGTGTACGCACCGGCCCCGGGCTCAAGGGGCTCCCGGCCACCGACACCGGCCTGCCGCCCGCCGCCCCGGTCCCGGCCGCCGCGCCGCCGTCGCCCTCGCTGGCCGTGCGCACCCGGCATGAGTTGCACTTGGTGGCCGGCGGGGTGGCAGCCAGGCTGTCGGTGCGCGTGCGGCGCACCAGGCCCGTCTGGCTGGGAGGCAGGTTAACCAGGTGGTGGTGGCGGCGCGCGCCGGGGACGCTGATGGGGTGAGTGGCAGAGGAGCCAGACGACTGGCTCTTGCTGCGCGGCCGGAACTCAAAGAGCTCCTTGAGCGCCTTCATGGCCTCCAGGATGGTCTCATGGATGTTCTGGGCCACCACGGAGTCGTCAGCCTGCATCCACAGTTCGCCGGGGCCGGTGACAGCCGAGCGGCCCACCTCGATGAAGAAGAAGCTGTCGGAGTGGCCGCAGCGGCGGATGTTCATGAGCTGCAGCGTCACCGACGGCTGCTCGCAGTTCAGCTTCACGAAGCCGATGGTGCGCGCAGACAGGCACAGGCGGTACACGCCTGTCAGGTTCTTGCTCTGGCCCAGGCCCTTGGGCTTCAGGTTCACCTGCCACACCTCGCGGTAGGCGGCCGTGGCGGGCGCCACCAGCCCGTAGCTGTCATCGGAGCCGGCAGAGCCGCCCAGGGTGCCGGGCAAGGAGGCGCTGCAGGACCCGGCGTGGGTCGCGGTGGGGGCCGAGTCGCCGGCACCCGCGCGGCCCTCACTGACCAGGTCGGTGAGCGCGCGGTACCAGCCCTCCTGCTCCTGCTCGTTCTCGGCGGCCACGGCGAAGTACTCGTCCTTGGTGTAGAGGGCGATCAGGTACTTGTGCTTGGCGTCCGCGCGCTTGTTGATGTTCAGGCAGCAGTCCAGCGAGATGACCCGCTTCGGGGCGCCCGCCTTGCTCCGCCACTTCTTCTCGCTCTCATAGTACTCGAGCCGCGGAGGCTGTGGCGCCGGACCCCCGCCCGCTGTCGCCTCGTCGCTGCTCGCGCCGGGCCCGCGCAGCACGAAAAAGCGCTTGTGACCGTGCTTCTGCTTGCGCAGGTAGCCGCACTTGCGCACGCTGTGGTTGTTGTTGTTGTTGTTGTTGTTGAGGTTGGGGCCATCGCCGCCCGCCGGCGCCGGGGGCCCGTGCAGCGGCGGGCTCGCCATCCCGGGCACTTCAGGCCGCGATGCCCAGCCCAGTGTCAAGGGGCTCGGGGGGAGCAGAGGGGGCGCAGGCGGGGGCTGCTCCCTCACCCCTGCTCGCCCGCTCGAGCCCAGGTCCCTTGGGCCCAGGAGGTGGGGAAGGTTCGGGGAGGCCGGCGGGGGCCGACACCGAGCGGTGGCGCAGCACCCTCCGCGATCCGGAGCCCCAGAGGATGCCCAGCGCCGGCGGTGGCCGCCGCCTGGCCCGGCTGCCCGTGGCCGCTGCCTCCCGGGCTCTCGGGCGGCGCCTGGGGACTCGCTGGCTGGGCGGAGAGTCGGGGTCCCCTAGTCGAGGGGCCGAGCCTAAGGCTCGCGCGGCCGCACTAGTCCCGCCGCCGCACCGCGCTCGGGGTGCCGGGGTGCTCCTGGGCACTCCGGGTCCGCGCTGCTGCCGGGGCTGCTGCTGCTGCTGCTGCTGCTGCCAACGGCGACCAGGGCTCTTCGCGGTCCCCGCCGCACTGTGAGTAACACATCGCGCACCGAGTGACTGAACTAAGAAGAGCAAAACAACATGTGACTCGGCGTTACGCAGGCACACACTGCGCGGCCGCCCCGCCCCGCCGCCTGCATTGGCGCCGCGCCTCCCGACGGATGGCACGCGCGACCAATGGGCGTGAGGCGCGGGGGGGTGGACCGCGCGCCCCCGCCCCGCCCCCCTTTCTCCCCGGGCTGCGTTTCCCGCCGTCCCCGCCCTCTCCCGCGGAGGCTGGGGCCGGGGCGGGGTGGGGGCCGGCCCAAACCTCATTAATCAGAGGCTCCTTGTGGATGCAGGCGGAGGAGATGCCACCCAGGGCGGGAAAAGGGGCGCGCAGAAGGGGCGGGGGCCAGCCGCGGTGCGGAGGGTCCTTCCCTCCCGCTTTTACTCAATTAATTGGGCTCGGAACGTCCGCCTGGGAGGGGCTCGGAGGAGGAGACACTGCAGGGGACGGGGGCCGGTGACGATCCAGGCCCGATACCGCCCTCGGCTCTGGGCGCAGGGAATTGGGGGACACCCCACTTTGGCCTCTCATGGCCCCGCCACCGCCACACTCGCGGCGGGCAAGAAAGGGTAATGAACTTGGCTGCCCTCTCGTAATCCCCTCCTACCAACACACACTTCGGCGAGCGGATCCTGCGCCCAGACTCAGGGTGGGCGCGCGCCCGCCCGCCGCAGCGGGTTTGCGCCTGGGTGGTTCCTTGGTGCCCCGCCGGCGGCTTGTTTACGATCATCACATTAGTCACCGGTGAGCTCTGGATCGATATCAGCTTCGTGCCCCTTCCTGGAAGGAGAGCCGGGGTGCGGGAGGGGCCGTGGCGCCCCCAACTCCCGGCCACACCAGTCGCGGGTGGCTCCCAGGGCCCCACCCGCCAGGGGTGCCCTTCCCCCGCACTCGGGTCGAGGGCTTTTTTCCGGGCGTCATCAGCACCATTCACTTGTCTTGAGAAGTTGAAATTCTCGGTTAGGGATGTAATAGAAAGAGGAGGACGTAAAAAAAAAAATAAAAAAAAAATGCTGTTTCCATAGTGCCGGGAAGAGGGTGAGCTCCAGCGAGAAAACAGCTTCGGGATCCTGTGCCCATGGCGGGGTATCCCCCCGCCCGGGGTACCCCTGTCCCCCCTCCGACCCTGGACTGCCTGCACAGAGGCGCTGGGAATGGGCGGCTCCAGACCTGTACGTCCTTACCAGGCAGCAACTGCTGTGTTGAAGATGCCCTTGAATAAGTGCTTTTATTTTTATATCTGCGCCGCTTTTGACTTTCAAAGTGGATTACAAATAAGAACCCATACAATGGCTTCTCGAAAATGACAGAAGTGAGGGCTACCGGTGAGGGTGGGAGTCCCTGGGTTGAGATCCTATCAGGCTCAGGGGCTTGCAGAAACTAAGAAAGCTAACAAAACCAACCCCTGTCTACTTAAAAAAAAAAAAAAAATGTGTCTTCATGAAATAATTTGAAACAATAATGTGGCTATTTTTTTTATTAAGCCCTGCCTTTGAATGTCCTCTGTAGTCTATAGAAGCCTTTATTTTTTTAAGATGTAATGAAATCTTAAATCTAAGGAAAATAAGTAAAGATTGTAATTTTTGAAAACATATTATAATATAACATATTGTAATATAACATATGTGTAAGAATGTGGCAAAGATTCTGCTAGCTAACATGTGTAAAGAGAACCCTACTTACACGAAGATCATAGCATTTATAGCATGCATACACTTATGAGAAGCATACATTTAGGAAGAATAAGTGAGGCAAACAATAGAATTTGCTCAAAGAAGTATATTTGAAGTTGCACCTCCATTTGAAACCATGCTTTAAAAAATACGGCAAGAATGCCATTTGTAAGTGTGTGTGTGTATGTATGCATTTGTGTATGTATGTATATATAGGTGTGCATGTAGGCATGTAGGCATGTGTGTATGTATATGTGTGTCTGTATGGGTATGTATATGTATACCTATACATGTATAATTGTGTGTATGCTGGGGGACCCACCTTTATGGACATTGTACTCTGGCCTTTTTATTCTTTTAGACCCTGTTGCTCTTTCTATGTTAACAAATGTTGCCTAGCAATATGTCTACTCAGATGAAAGGATTCTTATCTTAGGGCTTGAAGAAAATGTGGTTCCGTTTTATTGGCTTTGTGATGATTTACATCCCACTATAAGGGATGTTAACAGGCCTGCCTGTATGTTCACTGATGCTAACTAGCAGACAATGATCATGGGGCAACCTCTTTTCAGCATCATGCAATAATGCTTTCTTCTGAAAAGTACCTTTGCAATTGTCTCATATTTTCTTTTTGATTCAGACTTTAATACAAAATTAGATTTTCACATATTTATTGAATATTTACTTGCTGTGCCCATCAGGTGTTCACAGTGTCCTGTTTTTTTCCCTTAGGACGATTCTAGTGTCAAATGCCAGTATTCAGGTTAAGGTGTCAGGGGCTCTAAGTTGGCTGTTTGCACTTTCCCCATGTGCTGTCTCAGTCACCAGTTAGGGGCAGAAGAGGGAAGGGGGAGGAATTATCACCGGTATCAGTGGTGTTCTCATACAAGAAGATCACAAACCTACAGCAAAACTGCAAACTACTTGTCTTCCCGACATCTTAGAACCTCTAAATACAAATTCTATTCTTATTAAGAAGTCAGTTCATGAAACTCTGTAATTGGAAGTATCCCAGTCTTCCTCCTCCACGAAGGAACTCGTTGTCTTTCTCCCTTTCTATTGCCAGATAAGCTATTTATTTCCTTAAAGCTTGTTCGACACCTTGTGATTTTCCAACTGTTCTCCCATACTCTTTCAGCAAAAGTCAGCTAACAACATCTGCCAACCTGCTCTCCATGCAGGCTGGGTACTGCTTGTGTGGCCTGTTGCCAGCAAGCAGCCTGGATGACATTTTTTTCTCATGGTCCAGGATCTTTCATTGGAAGTCCTCTTTCCTTTCATGGATAACAAAATGGCCATATCTCTTAGCAAGGAGCGTTTTTGTTGTGTGTGTGTGTGTGTGTGTGTGTATGTCTGTGTCTGTGTGTCTCTCTGTGTGTGTGTTTTGTTTGTGTGGGTGTGTTTTGTTTCTGGGTTTTTTTTTCCATAAAATTGTATGCAATGACCCTTTTTATTTAAAAACAAAAAAAAGCCTTTCCTGGGATAATTTAATTGCCTTTCAGAAAATAGTCCATTCATTAAAATATAGATGTTAAAATGTATAAAAATCTATACTACTTATAATAGTAAGCATCATTTGTACTTTCTCTGTTTCATATAGAAAGGGCATGTTAGGAAGAGAAAATAGATAACATTCAGTGCTTAGGGGATTTTTTTTCTTTTTAATTCATAACACTGTAACTGCTTGACAGTATTTTCTATCTAGATTAACTCTACCTGAAAACTTCCTAGGGAGATCGTTCAGTGGAATACTATATGACCAGTTAAAATAGCTTTAAATTAAAATGTACTTTAGGAGGTATAGATTTTAACTTCAGAGGTTCATGTCACAGGATATATTTGTCTTTTAAAAGAATGGCAACATTTCATCACATTTTGCTTTATAAATAAAGTGCTTTAGTAACTCATTTAGTAAGTTTCCCTTTCTCTGATGAATGAGCCATGCAAAGACAGAGTTTTCCTCATCTAGGATTCATAAAGGGACTTTCTACATTATAGTGGCTAGGTGTTTTTTTTTTCCTTCACAAATATATTTGCTAATATGTTTCAACTGAAATTTCACAAGAGTTTTGTAACATGCTAATTCTGAGCAGCAATGCTTTATATGAAAGAATGTAAACTGGCAGATCACTTGTTATCTAATGTATGGCATTCCAAATGTCTAAAGCAGCGGTTCTCAACCTGTGGGTCGCAACCCCTTTGGGGGTCAAACAACCCTTCCACAGGGGTCGCCTAAGACCATCGGAAAACACATATACAATTACATATTTTTGTGATTAATCACTATGCTTTAATTATATTCAATTTGTAACAATGAAAATACATCCTGTATATTAGATATTTACATTATGATTCATCATAACAGTAGCAAAATTACAATTATGAAGTAGCAACGAAAATAATTTTATGGTTGGGGGTCACCACAACATGAGGAACTGTATTAAAGGGTCGCGGCATTAGGAAGGTTGAGAACCACTGGCCTAAAAGATCAGGATTTGTTAATAGATCATATCAGTTCCTTGGAAATTGTAAAGACTTTCCACTTTAGTATTTATTTTGATCATTAAAAATACTGATATAGTCCAGCTGATATGGCTCAGTGGCTGAAGGTCGACCCAGGAATCAAGAGGTCAATAATTTGATTCCTGGTCAGTGCACATTCCCGGGTTGTAGGCTCAATCTCCAGTAGGGGGCGTGCAGGAGGCAGTGGATGAATGGTGTTTCTATCTCTTCCACTTCCTTCCTCTCTAAAAATCAATAAAAATATATTTAAAAAAAAATACTGATATATTTCCAATAGTCTTTTTCTTAAATATTCATTTAGAGAGGAAGGATTTTCCATAATAA